CTGGTACGCACTCCTGCTCCTCCTCCACCTGATGCTGCTCCAGATCCTGCTCCTGTGGATGAGGACTTGCTGGTTCTCTCTGAGGTCGAGCGGGATCGCGCAACTAAGCGTTTCTTGCTGTTGCTGGTTGGTGCTGGCAGTGTTTGGTGGCTATTATTATTGCTTTTGTTGCGACTCGTTCCGGTCTCTCCTCCTCCTCCTGATGCTGCTCCTCCTCCTGCTGCTCCTCCGGTGTTGCTGTTGCTGCTGCCTTCGCTGTACCGCTGACGCTTCCTCTGCGCTGTATTATCTGAAGAGGTGATGTTTGATTTTGTTTTTGTTTGGTGAGAAATGTTCATTAATTAATGGTCAGTTATTACTACAAATTGCCTACGCAGTCATCAACATCAACTGGCAGGGCAATTCCATTGATCTCGACATCAATTTCAACATCAGCATCATCATTATCCTCATCCTCATCATTATCCTCATCCTCATCTTCATCTTCAATACCCACATCGACCCACGCGTTGTCATTGTGAGGAGCAATCACTTCGGGCGCATCATCCGCCGCCGCCGCTTGCTCCACATCTATCGGATCGATCGGCATGGTTCACATTGAGAGAGAGAGAGCGAAAAATACATCCAAAACGCACAAGAAACAGAAGCACAGATAAAAAAAAAACAAAACAAAACAAAGAGAAAGAGAGACGATCGACGTAGACCGTCGTCGTCAGATATGTATAAATTTTGGATAGAAATTTGGAATTTTGTTCATTTTTTGTGAGAGCTCATGACACGATAGATGGATGGATGGGTGGAGGATGGATATGGGGATATGCATCTGCTAGTGATTCCCCCAACAATGGATATATGTACACATGTCACATGATGTGCCTCACTTCTACGGTGAGAATGTTGCATTTTGAGACCAAGCAAAATGACGATGAGATCGAGATGAGATGCCATTGAATGCCACACTCTATGGACGTCGGATGGCGAATGGCGGATGTCGGATGTCGGATGTCAGATGTCCGTGGGTAGTACTTACCTTTGGGGCTCAATTTGCGCTTCGATGTGGCAGCCGCAGAGGTGGCAGCAGCAGCTCCAGTGCTCAACCGAGTGCCGCTGCGTTTCAGACTGGGGTCGGAGCGCCGTTCCCGTGTATTGGGCAATGTGGCAAGCGGCTGATCGGCGGACTTTTTGGCCACATTCTTGCTATTGTTGGCAGATCCATTGTCCTGGCCGGAAGCTGCTGCAGCAGCAGCGGCCGCAGCAGCCGCGGCACTGGCCCGCTTCAGATGAGCCGGCATTCGCTTCGGCGGCTGCATAGCTGCATTCGAGCTGCTGCTGGCAGCCGCCGCTGCACTGTTGGAGGAGGTAGTTGGTCTGTCTGTACTAGAGGACAGTGCGGACATCTTCTGTGGGGACTTGTGGGCCTTGAGGTCCTCCTGCTTCTTGTGCATTCCCACGTCCAGCCAGTACTCGAGCTGGGCTTTATGCTGGCGCTGCATTAGCTCTTGCCCGGCCGTATATTTGCTGAGCAGACCCTGCAGCTTCTGCACCGTCTTGTATACGTGCTCGTTCGAGATGAGTCCATAGTCGAAGAGGGAGCACATGTGCAGGATGAAGTTGCGATAGAGATTCTTGCGCACGATCTCATGGCCCTTGGCATCGAGGAACATTTCGCAGGCCAATGGCAGCTGGCAGTTGCCCACGAATCCGTGACGCATCACATGCAGATTCCATATCTTCATCAGCTCCTTCTCCCCCTCGTTGACGTCGGAGAACTCGTCAATCATCTGTATGGTCTTCTGGCGCAGCCACAGCGGATCACTCTCGCCCTCCGAGTCAATGTCCAGCTCCTTGGGATGCACGGGCAGACAGGTCTCCGTATGATGGTACAGCCTTTAAAGCATTATTTTCACAATTATCACATTTTGCCTGCAACTTGTCCAGTGCGCCGTATGCCTTACCTGTTGTGACCTGTTATGTACGAACGCTGGTTACTGATATCGTCCTCATCTAGCTCCAGGAACTCATCCAGGCTCGCCTTCTGCCTCCTGGGCCGGCACACCATTAGGCTGGTCACCGAAGTGCGCCGAACAGGGCCGCAGGTGCGGGCAAACGACGAGCCCGATGGCCCGGCCAGATCGTAGGGGGATCCAGCGTACGATCCATCGTACGCATCATTAATGGTGACATCGATGCGCGCACCACTGCCTGCGGGCTGGTAGGTGAAGTTGAACCGGGCATGGCATAGCTTCAGATGCTTCAGCAGGGCGTACAGACGCAGACAGTCCAGACCGCACCAGGGACAGTTCAGCTCCTGCGTGTATTCAGTCTGCTGGCGCGTATTGTTGCTGTACATGAAATTGTATACGATCTGGATGTGTTCGGGGGGCGTTGTCTTGCAAATGCCATTATTCTTGAGGTTGCTGCCACCACTGCAGTTATTGTTATTATTGAAATGATTGTTATTGTGATTGACCGCATCGGCAACGGCGTCCAGATGATGGACATAGCGCTGGAGTTCCCGTGCCGATATTGTCTCTGGCAGCTGCTCGTTGGACAGCGTCAGATGGAATTTCAGCATCGGACTCTGTTGGTAGACATCGTAGGTGAGCGAGAGTGGAATGTAGCTATCGGGCATCGTCTCCCAGGTGCATTTCTTTGGTGAGAAGGACTTGATGCTCGACGAGTTTAACGGCTGGAGCATGGCCTCGTATTCGCCCTCGGTGATGAATCCACTCGACTTTTCATACAATATCAGCTCAGAGCCGTACATCTTCTCATTGGGACGCGATCGCTTGTTCGATGGGGTTTCTATGGGATGGGAAAGGACGTCGGGAGGATGAATCTCCGTCTCGGACAGAGGTTTTTTCTCTCTACTAAACCTGTTTTTACCTGCATTCTCATCATTGCACGTGGTGGCGGGCGACGACAGAACCTTGATCCTAAAGAGCAGCTTGTAGAGCGTATGCTGCTCACCCATCGGTCGCATGGCCTGCAGAGGTATGCTGATGGTGGCATGCTCGCCAATGCGATCCTTCGGATTGTACACGATCTGCGAACTCTTGCTGAGCAGCTCCTGAAAGTCCAGCGTGCTGTCCTTGCGCTTGCTCCGCGTGATCTTGTACAGCGTGGTCACAACACAAACCGACTCACCGGCTTCGCAGAGCAGTTGCTCCTGCAGCAGCTCATCGCTGTCCGATGATTTGATCTTCTCGTGTAGCGAGTCGTAGATAACGTGCAGGTAGTTTTGTGTTACGGCTTCGGATTTTTGGATTATGCTCTCCAGCATGGAGTTGATCTGGAAGGTGGCCCGCTTCTTGTTGGTGCGCGACATTCGCTCCTTCATATAGCAGAGCGTTCGATTCAGGAATATGGGCTGCACCAGGGAGAACAAGAAGAGAACATGTAATGCATGTGCCGTCTCGCGCTGTCTGGGAGATGTTATGTTGTGTTAGATGGTCTCCACTTACGTTTGTCTCATGGCGGTTGCGTAGATACCGATAGATTTGCGTGGGCTCTGAAAATCAGCAGCATTAACCATTCATTATTAGTTTGTCTGTCTGGCGCTAATCTTCAATCTCCACTTCTACTCACTTTCAAATGCTTGCAAAAAGAGTTCCTGCTCTTGTTGGTGTCCATTGAGCTTCCCGTTGGCCTCTGCCGCTGCCGTCCCCGTGGTCGTTGGCGCTGCCAACGTAGCATTTGTTCCATCTGCTCCATTTCCATGGCCATGAGCCGCGTTCGATCCGCCGTTAATGCCATTTGCCGCAGCGCCAGCGCCATCTGCATTGTCTTTCTCGCGTTTTTTCGCTGGGGCCATTGTGTGTTCGTTTGTGTGTCACGATGCGAGAACTGCTGAGGATGGTGGGATGGAGGGGGGTGGGTGCTCTAATTGTTGGAAATGCAACCGCTGGGCGCACACACACACAATATCCACGCACAGACTAACAACGCGCTAACATTTTAGAACATATTCACATTTGTTTTACCCATTTAGCATGAGTTTTTGTTTTTTTTCCGCGATGCTTTGCGTGTTTTTGCCGTTTCCCTTTTCGGCGCGAAACCTTTTGCTTTTGTCTCAGCGTTATTATCAGTGCGACCCTCAGAAATATACCAAAATATACCGTCTCATTTTGAAAATATACCGTAAATATAATGACGAATTCAAGTTATATATTCCTCGACTTTTATATTCCGTGGAATATTACTAGCTATCTAGATCCCTCAGCCCTGCCCACATCATTTTATCCAATTAATGTATCCATTTTCTACTTGACTGGTTTATTTTAAATACTCGACTTTGATTTGTTTTGCCTCAATTTTGGTTCCTCAACAACAATATAGCGTCTCGTATGATGAAAAACCGAACTTAGCCCACTTAAGCCCCCTCTATTTAAATAGTTCAACTACTTGAGGTAAATGGCGGACAATATTAACAATTGTAAATTCTTCTTGTAGATTCATGGCATTTTTCCTCTGAACTTAAAGAAAAGCACTACATATATATTTCACCTGAACTGCGCTAAAATTATTAAATTTTCATTATTTTCGGTGGAAAATTTAAGTACCCCCTTGGCTTACAATGGGTTAATTGTTCTCCGTCAAGGATTGGAAACCATATTGCTCAATTTTGATGTTCTGTCGAATGTTATTGGATATATAGAACATTTAGCCATGCCCACATAATTTTATACGATTGATGAATAATTTTTCTACTTAACTGGCTTATTCTTAATACATTATTGGATAAATACATTAATACAATCTTTTATTGGATTTTGCGTAAACAAATTGTATAGCGAAATAGGGCAAAGAAATAAAACGTGAGAAAAAGACTGTAGTCTCAGCATGTAGCCTTACGTTCCATTATTTAACATTTTTGATTTATTTAACATTTTTCTATTGTTTCTCAACAGCTGTTCCACCTTCCAATACAGACGATCTGGCAACACCAACACACCGATAGAAGCGTGCAGAGCACTTAGATTTTTTTTTTGACTTGAATTGTAAAAATTATCAACAGTCGGAGCCGGCACAACTGTTTTTAGAGATCCAAATATCTTAATTAACTCTTCACTCAACGCAATGAATATGGACAAGAACAGTGCAGCGTTGTACAAAAAAATGCAGACCGAGGTTGAGTCATATCAAAACCTTCAGAAGTGTATGTAAATGGAGACGCACATTTCCGTCCAAATTTAATAATACTATTTGCTCCATGCAGCCTGCGTGAAGATGGTCAAACAACGCGCACTACTGGAAGGCCAGCTAAATGAGAACAAGTGCGTTTTGGACGAACTGAATCTCTTGGGGCCAGACAACAAAGTCTACAAACTGTTTGGCCCTGTGCTAGTGAAGCAGGAGCTGGAGGATTCACGCCAGAACGTGGGCAAACGCATTGAGTACATCTCCAAAGAACTCAAGAGTTCCACCGATACCCTGGAGAACATGTAAGAAAGCACCAGCCCGGCTAGACTTTTTTGTATTACAATTTTTCTTTATAGGGAAAAGGATATGCTGAAACATCGGGAGGCTGTGGCCAAGTACCAACAGCAGTGGCAGGTGGCGGCGGCCATGAAGTGAAGGCCCTCAGGATTAAAACTAAGACCTAATTTATAATTGTTTTGTAGATGTTTCAGAGCAATACCAACACCAGCATCATCTTGGAAAGAATAAATGCATTTTTAAGGAGAAACTGGCCATTTTAAATTAACATTAGCTGGAAAAAGCACAGCTGGAAAGGTTCAGACTTTCGCGTATATTCGATTTTTTTCTATCGAAAAACGCCCACCACCACGTGATTTCCTATCAAAAGGCGGTATTCTTGCAGTATTATTTTTACAACATAGTAGTGCTGTCAAATATTTAAAATCTATCGATATATTTAATATTTTGACAACCCTACTACATTGCCACGAAGAACAGAATTTTTTTGTTGGCACATCCGAAATTATTTAAAAACACTGCATTTAATAGTGCATTTCGAATAATTTGACGCAATCAAACGATGGGTTCGAGTCACAGCATACACGTACCCGGTGGGGGCACAGAAGGTAACGTACACACCCAGAGGAGGGAGGACAGGACATGGACCACGTAAACCTTACGTTGTCGGTCTTCGGTCGTTGGTCTCACAATTAGAGATCGCAAGCACCCTCACACACGCACCGTACCAGAACACGTACACGTAGACGGACAACAATATATGCATATGATCGTATAAAAAAATTTTAATGGTCTCATTGTCTCCAGGTTACCACGTACTCAAAGTGCAAGACAACTCGCCGGGCCAGAAGGCCGGACTGGAGGCCTTCTTTGACTTCATTGTGGCAATTGCCGGCACTCGGCTGGACCAGGACAACGACATGCTCAAGGAGCTGCTGCGTCAGAACGTTGACAAGCCCGTCCGTCTCACCGTCTACTCCAGCAAAACACAAACTGTGCGGGAGCTGACCCTGACTCCAAGCACTAGCTGGGGTGGCCAGGGACTGCTGGGGGTTAGCATTCGTTTCTGTTCGTTCGAAGGGGCCAACGAGAGCGTGTGGCACATACTGGAGGTGCATCCCAACTCTCCGGCGGAGCTGGCCGGACTCCGGGCCTACAGCGACTATGTAATTGGAGCGGATGCCATACGCCACGAGAACGACGACCTGTTCACGCTGATCGACACGCACGAGCAGCAGCCGCTGAAAATGTACGTCTACAATCTGGACGACGATGCTTGCCGCGAGGTGACGATCAAGCCCAACACGGCCTGGGGAGGAGAGGGTGCTCTCGGCTGTGGCATTGGCTTCGGCTATCTGCATCGCATCCCGGTGCAGGCAGTCCCCGTCCCAGCCTCTTCGGCCTCGGTTGCTACTGCAGCTGAGGCCGCTCCATTGCTGACGAGCGGAGGCGGACCGGCACCTGCCCCTGTGGCAGTTGCCGGCTCTGCTGTCGTCTCACCAACGTTGCCTTACATACCGCCTCTGGCCAACACCTTTGCATCGACAAATGCCGAGATAAGACCACCAACCATTGAGCCGCCAGCCCAGAGCCTATTCAAGACATATTTCAATCCGGACGAATCAACAGATGCTCTCACCGCGGCGTTGGAAACTCAGGCAGCCATTGGAGAGCCCCAGCTACCAGCCCCCTCAGGCAACATACCGGCTCCAGCTCCTATTCCTGCTGCACTAATTGCTCATCCTTCGCCTGCGACTGTGGCTGGACCTCTGGCTGGTGTTTTTGCTCCACCTCCGCCTGCTGCAGCTCCAGCCGTAGTTGAGGCTCAAGCGCAGTCTGTACCGCCACCAGCGAATATCTTCATACCAGGCGTCTACGATCCCAACACACAGCACAATGCGAGCGTGGCCCTCGGTGGAATACCGGCAGCCCAGCTGCCGTTCCCACAGGCCACTGCGGCGCCACCACAGCTGCCTCCTGCAGCCGTGCCAATGTTCTCCACATCACAACAGGCCTACATGTCGGCTCCGGCGGCTCTCTCTTATCCGGCTGCTCAGACGGTGCCGTCGTATCCGCAGGTGCAGCCCTCCATGGGCGGCCTGTTTCCCACGCAGCCAACGCCGCTGCCACCACAAATGGCCCATGTGTTCTCACCACCGCAGGCGCAGTCGCAGCCGCCCCCATCTGGCAGCGAACAGCAGCAGCAATCGGCTACAACTCAGGCCGGCAACTAAGACCACATCCACATCTGAGCGGCGCTGTGTTGTCGAATTGGACAAATTGTCGTTAAGCTTTTATCTTTCATCTGATTATTTTTTACGATGGCGATACCCAAGGCCACGAACGGGGAGACAAGGCAGAATGCTGACATAACATCAATGGTACCCGCAGCAGAAAAATATGTAAATGGCATTCGTAATATAATATAAATTAACTATTGTAATAAACAAATAATATACACAAACAAAATCTTACTATAGATTCAATCTTTGAATCTATATAATATATATGCACATACTCCTGTGTGATCCCTGATCACAACGGCTTTCTCTTATCAGAATGTATAAGAATTTTAGAGCAGAAATCATTCCACTCTGTCTGAGAGCCTAAGAAGTCTTTCCATTTCGGGTCGAGGTTGTTCATATGTGCCGCCCAAAGAGCTCTTTTCTCAATTACTTTGAGCGTGAGGTAATGCGAAAGACGGCCATCACTGCTGGAAAATATTAACCGACCTATATATTGCAGGTGCAGTTCAAGGGCTATGGCATTAAAATTAATGATGCTCGTATCTGAGGTGCTATTTTTATTACTGGAATTATGGTTGAGGGTTTTCTTCAGAAATACCTTTTGCAGCTGATCGATCTCCCTGAAACGAATGCTGCCCCATACTTGGACACATCGAAACTTCAAGAACTTTGTCCACTCTTCTGGTTGATGGAGAAACTGATCCATCAAGTTCTTAGCTTCTTTGATAAATTGATGAACTTGTTTTTTATAGGAGAGTCCAGGAGTAAACACGAAGTTCAGGTATGAAATCTCGGATGTTCTTTTAATCGATTTCCCTGTTATAATCCATTTCTCCAATGCCGATACCCTGCCACCACCCTTTTTGAAAACCATAATTTCGGATGTATCCATGTCCACATCCATGGCCCGTTTGTGGCCGTAACTTTCCAGTTGATCAATCATAGCCTGGAGGTCGTTGATCCTTTCCGCAAGTAGAACTATCTTGTCAGCGTGCATCAATATGTGTATCCTGCGATCATCGATGACAAGACCTCCTTGAAGCTCGTCTGGAAGATCGTTTAAATACAAGGCGGCTAGCATTTCGGACATATTTTTCTGCTCTCGATCTATGTTTTCTCTGTAGCATCGTCTAAGCAGATTGATAATCCTTGGGGAGACTCCCATGTCATGGAGCTTGCGCCATATAAGCTTTCTAGCCGCTCCCTGGGTAAAGGACCTCCAACTGACGAAATACGCATAGACCTTAGCTCCTCTTTCCGTCAATTTCATATCGACAATCGCTGTTAAGTTGTACACCATATCCACGCTGGAAAGTTTCTCCCAGAATCTGGTCTGGTGCTCATTGAAGATATTGGTATGGCCGCACCATTCGATCAGTCTGTCTTGCACTATTTTGAAGAGAGTCTTGATTAAACCATTCGAAGAGACAATATTTGTGCAGGAGATCTGTCTCATATTCGATCCGTCGAACATGGCATTGCATCGAACAACCAGTTCGTTGCGGAAATCCCTCAATGCTTGCTTGGAAAACGACCTCAATGAGTGATGTTTGAAAGCAAACTCTACTTCTGCACTGGTAATATCCGAATCGAGCCTGGTGTTCTGCGAGAGAATGCTGGAGTCAAATGACCTGATATTATTTGTCTGTATTTTGATTGGAGAAGCTCCCGGCAATGGGGCACCCAACAGGGGCAGATCTAATACCAGACAGATGGGCAAGTGATCAGATCCGTGTCTGGTGCCCCCTGTATCTGGTTTATCCACCATGAAATCACTCACTACCGGCATTAGATCTTGGCTGACTGCTGCAAAATCATTTGTGGAATTCCCCAGCTTGCTCGGGGTATGGTATGTGAAGCTGCCTTTGGCGTCGCCCACCGTCAGGCCGTTCAATATTTGTAGCTTATTATGGTCGCAAAATTCCAGAAACTGTGATCCTCTTCCATTCCGTTTTTTGTCTTCAGAGATTCGACCATTTGTGTTGGCGACACAGGGATAGTTGGAGACTTCCTGCTTGAGCCCGCCCAGACGGATGTTGACATCACCAATTATTATGGCATTTTCTATGGTATTCGGTTTGTTGCTAAAGACCTGTGTCACCGGCAAGAATTCGCCATTCCAGTCGGCCCCTCGTATGTAGAGCGGTATTATGTGGAGCATTTTCTCACGCCAGCATAGCTCTACGATCTTTATATCTCCCACATCGGTTATAGCGTGCGTTAGTCCCATTTTGTTTAGGAATTTCCGGATTCCAATCACAATTCCGCCGATTCCACGTCCGTGACGATAGATCTTTATGGCTTCCTTCCAATAGCAGGCATAGTCGGAGAACAGTTTTTCAAACTCTTCTGTCACGGGTGTACCGGGAAGCGTATGGGTTTCAATTAAAATAAATATGTCGACATTCCTCAGATATTCCGTAAATTCATTGTCCTTCAATTTGCTTTGTAGACCACGGATATTATATGAAACTATTTTTAGCAACGGGACGTCGTTCTTCCGTTTGTCGCGGCTCATTTTGCTCACGGTGGCAGCTACAATTTAAAACTAGTTTCGCCACTATATTTTCATTCAGTTGAACCCTAAGCTTGGACTCAACTGGCTATCGACGTACCCACATCCGCTCTACCTCTCCCTTGCATCTGGTGAATCATCCAACTGATAATAACATGCAATAATTTGCATGTACTTGTGTAATGCTTACTCCGAGCAAATGTTCCTTCTCTTCACATTCGTGTCGCCCATTAATAGGCATAATTATGCAATTAAAACTAATTTATATACAAATTTTAACAGCTTATATTGCTTTCTGATTGGAGGCGCAACAAAACGTAAAGAGAAAAATTCCAATTGAAACGCGATTGATATCGACTATATATCGATATATACCAATTGATATCGGCATTCGAATGTCGATTTAAACAATCTGCAACTGCATTATACAATCTACTGTAGGCCCCACTGGGGCGGATGTGGATTACAAAATCGTTCTTTATTTGGTTGTCGTTTGATGGTTGAATGGTGGCAGGAAGGAAGGCGATTACTTCTTCTTCAGGAATGGGCTGACAATGGCCGGAGCAGCATAGGTGGTGTACGCAGGAGCAGCCGCAGCATAGGATGTGTAAGCAGGAGCAGCAGCTGTGTACGTGGTCACAGGAGCGGTGTAGGCGCGGACACCGTACACCGATGAGGTGTAGGCTGGAGCAGCTGCAGCGTAGGTTGAGTAGGCCGGAGCGGCAGCAGCATAGGTGGAATAGGCAGGAGCAGCTGCAGCATACGTGGCCACGGGAGCCGAGTAGGCCACGGGTCCAGCGGCATAGGTGGCAGCATAGGACGGCGCGGCAGCGTATGTGGCAACCGGAGAGGAAGCCAGGAAGCCAGCCTGGGCAACGGCGAAGGTGAGAGCCAAGCAGATGAGGAACTTCATGTTGAACTGTTTAGAGTTGGTTGGTTTGTCAGTGACTGATGCTGTTTCCCAATTAGCTCGATCGTTTTATAGTCCGAATTGGCCCGGGGGGAGGCCTGCCTGGCCAAACGGGTTTACGGCTTAGGCATTCCCAATAACAACCGAAAACTAAATTAGAACACAATTGCGTCCGCATTGAGTTTCTGCATGGTAACGTTCATTGAATGCGGATTCAATCCTCTGCCGCCGCACCTTTGTGACAGAACCTAGCCTCCAATGTTTGTCCAAGCCGTGTCAAATGGATTACTCTTTCTCCTCTTATGCTTGAGGTATGGCGACAATTTGTGCCTGCTTTTCGGCTGCTCCCTCTTGCGCTGTTATGGTGTAAGATGGAATAGATGTACCATAGATTGACTTGAGTACGCATCACTCTTATTGCATAGATTAAGATTAGTTGCTGTTGCTGTTGAAAATGCAAGCAATCTGTGCAACAATTCATAATAACACGAATTTTTTTGTACAGCTTAACCTTGGAGCGGTGCTTTGACCTCTCAATGGTCAATTCCAACTTGTGTTAAGACTGTAAATTACTCCTTTAATAGAATATAAATATAAGGCAATTTATTCACACATATTTTCAGTAACAACAAACAACTTTAGATGAAGTCGATTTACTTTCTGAAAATATATTTAATAGAAAAATATCGTAAGTAATTTGTTCATTCAATGAGCTATAGAGCTGTTTTTATAAAAATGCACTCAAAAGAACTCTTTACGCGTCTCGAATCGGTGGCAAAACTTATATATCAGCAAGGTACAAAGCTGGATTAAAAATACAAAAAAAAAAAATAAATAAAACAAAACAAAATGATGTAAACTATAATTTTGCATTTATGCCGCCATTTTTTTGCCTGCTTGTGTGTGGTACAGAATGATAGAACCAAAAGAAAAACACTTAAGATAAATTCATTGCAGGCACCTGGTCTGAAAGTATTTGTCATCAATGAAGCGACAGAAATCCACCAAGTGCTTGAACTTTTGCACGGTCTGGGCCAGCGCCATGTTGGGTAGCGTGGTGGTCAGAATGCTGAAGAGATGTCCAAAGGCGATGGCATCCAGTTCACAGGGCTGTTCGCCATAGAAGAAGGGCGTGTCGGGGGACTCTTTCAGTTTGTATTCGAGCGTCTCGCAACATTTGGCCACCTTTTCAATGACGTTTTCTATGTCCAGGTCGTTCCACTGATAGACCTTCAGCAAACGGAGCGCGTTGCGTCGCTTGCCATAGTTCTGCATGTGGTTCATGGGCCACGGATAGACACTGCCATTGCGCGGGGCTGTCACCTCCTTGTAGACGCGCTCGTTCTTAAAGCTGATGTACAGCTCGGCCATGGTGAAGATGTTCTCCACAAGCGACACATACGTCCGCATATCGGCCTTCTCATCCTCGTCCTGCAGGTTACCGATGGCCATCTCCTTCTGCTCAACAAAATTGACGATTGGCTCGAATTCGGCAAAGATAAATGCCCCAGCTCGGATAAAGGGCAGCTTGGTCATGCGGCCACCTGGCGACATGTGCTCTGCATTGGCGCATGTGCGCACGTCAAAGGGCAAGTTGCACATCTTGAGGTATGCCTTCACGGCCAGGCAGCTGGCGTTCTCCGGCAATAAGATCTGCTCCACTTCATAGGGCTAGCCGCGAAAGAGAATTGCGAGAGGAATGCATGAGGCTTGTGATTTGCACCGGCTGAGTGTTTGGGGTGGGATGCCTACCTGGTAGAGTGTGGCGTCTTCTGGCCATGGCTCCACGGACAGCTTGTTGGCGGTGGCCAGTTGGCTTAATAATACAGATGGCATTTTCTTCAAATTCCACACACAATTTCCAGCACAACGATGAAGTAATCAAAAACAGCTGCGTTTCGTGACACGCCGTGACAATCGCATACTATCGATATAATATATCAATACATGGAGTCAACTGGTTGTCAATGTGCTTGCTTGCTTTATGAAAACTCTCTTTTGAAATTATCACATTAATTACAGCTAAAGTAAATTTATTATAATTTGGAAAAGTTATTTTCGTTGCGCTTTTGATAACATTTGAAATTCCAGGGCAGCCCTGTATGGAACAGCTGTATGTAATCGAAATCGAAATCGGTTTCAGCCAGAAAGATAACGATTAACAACACTGCTTATTCACTGTTCCGCCTTCGTTCTTTCTTGTTTCTGTGTTTTTTGCGTTGTTTTGTATTTTATTAAATATATTACAAAATCATATAATTACCTGTATTAGTTGTTGTTCACGCAACAGCCAGGAAACGCTAAAAGAAACGGCAATTATTACTTAATTTGCAAATTAAAAAGGTGAGTGCGCGCGGCTTTCGCTGTCGTTTTGTGTGGATGCCACCGACTGTGTGCTTGCATTGCGTTCCAATGCATTCAAATAATATTCGAATTGAAATAAATGCTTCTTATCTGCCCGCAAGGGCACCAACCACTCCCAAAAAAAAGAAAGAATTTACTTGCAAACAATCACCAAAACCGAATGACGATCATTTGCCGGCCCCGTGTGTGTTAGTGTGTGATTCATACATGTGCATGTACATACGTGTATGTATGTATGTATTTATGTGCGTCTGGGTCTTAACATTTTTCTGGCCGTGCACATTTCTTTATCAAAACTGGGCATGGTTTTTACTTTTCCTTGAATTATCCCCCCACACCGCACCACACCACACCAGACCAGACCAGACCACAACACACAAAGCGAGCGAGCGAGCGAGTGAGCACTTTGACGGGGGGTCTCTGGGCAGCGTCCCTGCCCCTGTATTGCTCCACTATACCAATCTATCTATTGGAATTTTTGTTTGGAATTGGTGGATTTTGTTTGGGCAGCATTGGATACAGATTCTATCTTAATTCGAAAAATCAGCTTAATATTTATTGTTTTATGCACATATAGAACAGTACGTGTAGTATATAAAAATAAACTTTAATTATCTCGCAACAAACATTAATAACATTTCCATTCGCATGTACTCTCTGCTCTTCAATCCAAATCTGGAGAATTGAATACTATTATCGGACCAACATGTATTGAAAATGGGCATAAAGCGAGCGACGTGTATTTAGATAATGAAAAATAATGAAAAGCAAAAGCAAGATAATAAACTACCGCCAGAACATACTCGTCCCCATACATACATGTATGTATGTACATCCATGCATACATAGCACATACATATACATACATACATGTGTTCGTGTGGCTGGAGGCGTCGGTCTGGTCGTATTCGCTTAACGCCCGTTCTGGTCAATATAATTCAATGCCGTTCTCCCCCCACCCTACCCCCCACCCCACACTCTGTCAGTGTGCCTTTTGCCTTATCTGCCTTTGTGCGTCCGTATTTGGTTGGGACCTTTTTGTTTCTTTTTTTTTTCTATGCGGGGGGACATCTGCCAGCTGCAACCGCCACCGCCCCCCACCCCCACCTCCACGCCAGGCCCCATCCATCGGCTCTCCAAGCCACAGTTCATCAATGTGTTAATAATTGGAATTTAATCAATATTATCGAGTGACTAACATTTGGTGGGCAGCATTGTGGTGAAAATTGAATGATAAAAGGGCAATCCATTTTATCTGCTAGTCCTGCAGATCTCCAGGGAATATACATATGTATGTAGATATGTATGTATACTTAGAACAAAACCATTATCGTGCCCTCATGTTACTCACACTACTAAAAATATCCCTATGACCCACATGAATCATTAAGAGGAGGGATAAAAGAGGCAGAGAGAACTGCTAAACAAGAAGAAAGAAACAAAAAAAAAACTCTCAACTAGGAAAAATCATGCGTAATCTTACCGATATAAATGTATTCGATTGATAAACAAACAAACCAGACTTTGTTTTGCAGCCCGCTAGGTAAGAGAGAGGAAGCCATGGCCGAAACAGAGAAGCAACAACCCCATCCCGACCATCATGATGAGGATGTGCACGATGCCAACTACCAAGCACCGCCGGAGAAGACCATCGAGGAGATCATGGCCGCCGATCAGGAGGATGAGAGTTTGAGACGCTACAAGGAGGCCCTCCTGGGCGCAGCCCAGACCGAGAAGATTGTTGTCGGTAAGAGAGCAATCAAAACACAGCCAATCGAATGCTAATCCAATTACCCTTCATCTCTAGAGCCCAATGATCCGCGCAAGGTGATTGTGAAAAAGCTGGCGCTGGTTGTGGAGGGACGCGATGATATGGAACTGGATCTTACTGGCGACATTAGTCAGCTGAAAAAGCAGGTAGAGCGCATCATGACTGATCCCCATCAACGAATCCATTTGACCTATTGACATCTATTTCCCGACAGCTTTTTGTGATCAAAGAAGGTGTTCAGTACAAGGTGCGCATTGATTTTATTGTGCAACGTGAAATCGTTCACGGCCTTAAGTATGTGCAAAAGACCTCTCGCTTTGGCATGCCCGGTAAGTGATTCGATTTGAATGGACCTACAGCCAGGAGGGTGGGGGGACTTTCCTTTCAATCGAAATGTTTTCCATTGAACGAGTATTTGGTTCATTGTACAGTGCGTACACTGTGCCGTGCACTTTTGGGACTTCACGGTTCGCGTGGCCACATTCCACGTTTGCTTTTTTTTTGCCCGTAAAGGCATCAGTTCTTGATAGACTTCTGTCCGCTACAGTATGGGGAATAGCACCTTCAATAGCACTAGCCTGCTCTGCGGAATTTTCAGTGTGGTCTACATAGTGCTTATTACGTTTGCCATTTTTACCATAATCATGTGCTGATCAATGTCCCTTTGTCCTTGTATGCCTTGCCCTTTTTTGTTGGATAATTATATTGCCTTGCGTTAAGTTGTGGGTAAGATTGTGGTCGAAGACTCCTTGAGAGATTTGTTCTTGTTTTCGTGAATAATCCATTTACTTCTTTCCATTCCCATAGTCGACAAAATGAAGCACATGGTTGGCTCGTATCCGCCGAAAAAGGAAATTCAGTTCTATTTGACGCCCGCCGAGGAGGCGCCCTCCGGCACATTGTCGCGCGGCACTTACTCGGTCAGCTCGATCTTCACGGATGACGACAAGCACATACATTTGGAGTGGGACTGGACCTTTGAGATCAAAAAGGACTGGGCATAAGGCGGGAAACACACCACACATAGAAACCCACACACACACACGCCACACACACACACCGACATAGACACAGACACACAGCATATACTATTTTTTTTTTTTTTGTTTCTTCCCCAAAATTGTCATGTAACTAGTTTATTTTTTGTTTCCAAAATCTGTAAACGCGAGTTTCCAACAAAAAGAAAAAGAAGCCAACCAATTGATCGTCAAGTATTTTTGTGAATGGTATTAAAATGAAACTATTTTTGTATCTAAAGAGTTAAATGTAAAGCCACGATAAGTATTTTTATATCCATTTGATATCCAATGGAATGTGTGTAAAAGAAGAGCAATTCTCGCCCAATGTCACTCACAAAGAGATCCAGTCAATCCACTCAAGTCAAAACCAAGTCGAGTCAAGTCAAGTCAATCAGTCGGCCTCTGCATGCCATTGCATATGTCTAACATATACCCCCATTTCCAGCTGAATTCTGATGAGTAATGAGAACTTTAAGAAAGTTGTATGCATTTTCGCCATGTATTTAAATTTAATGAGAGGAAAGCGTTTATTCTTTTCAACTGAAACTGCAGGGGAAGCCCATGCCCAGCCCAGAGGGGATCCACTCAATCAATAAACTGGATCTGAAACTGGTAACTGGAAATTGTTACCTTACAATAATGCATTTGATATCTGTAAAGTCTACATAAAAGGGAACTTTTAACTATATTCTAACTGTATAACTTAACTATCTCTGTGTATTTTTTGTGTAAAATTTATGCGAATGCAGCAGAATGAGTGCAACTGAAGAGCAATAAAAATAAAATATATTTAAATATATATGGGCACACATTGTTGATGTTTTTTAGTCACCCACTGAGAGCAAATTATACAGTAGCCTCGGCACTTTATAATGCTGCTTATCTGTTGACGTTGCCCCGAAGTAAACGTCATAAATTGTTGGTGGAAGTCAAAGGTACAACTCGCATTACTCATACGCCGTGCATACCAACCATTTCTGTGGGGTGTACGTACGGAGAGCAAAACTTGTGTGGCTTTGTCCTCTCTGTTTATATTCAATTTCGCTCGGGCAACATGTTGCCAGCTAAACTGTTGCACTCGGCAGCGCGCAACATGTGGCCCAACACTCGAGGCGGCAGTCTTTGAATGCAGGAGAGAACAGCGAACCGAACCGAAATGAAATGAAATGAAATATTCAAACGCACATTTATCTTAAAAGAATGAATAAATAAATTGCCTGCTTGTAAATGGCGCGATTTGCCGAAAGAAGAAAGCGAAATCCAAGGCGCGGAATGTAAGAAAAACAGCAGTAATAATTTTCTGGAATAAACCCTTGAGGCATACCCAGTAAATGGCGGAAAGGAAACCTTTGAGCCTGCTGTCATACCATACCATACCACACCATGCCCAAAAAGCTATCCGCTTTAAAAGCTTCCTTGGAGCAAGATTTCTTATTTATTCTGTTGATTGTTTTCATTTCATTGTTCCGCCGAAAAAAGCAACAAAAACAAAATAATTCAGGAATCTTGTACGGTTTAAAGGTAAAAAAGTTGGCTTCGAAGAAGTAAGTTTTCCCGACATTTAAAGCCAGTCCATTGGTATTTGAAATTCAATTCATGAATGCTTCCGTTCATATTTGATTTGGGGGGCAAGAGCAGAGATTGAAGAGCTTCCGATTCCACTCTAACTGACAATGCCGCTGTCCATCTCCGTCCGTTAAGAGCAGAATGATTGACAGTCGCTCCACCAGCTCCATATTGTTCATCCAGTGCAGCAATCCCAGACACCGGATTGTGTGTCACTGTGGCCTTTTAGCCTGATGCCGGCAATTGTCCGCCCCCCATTATGGTCCATTGCATCCGGGCATAAAGTTCACTGGAATGCTGCAATAACAACAAAAAAAAAAGAAGAAAGACACACTGAAAAAAGGAAATCCAAATGCTGCAAAAAAATGGGGATAATAAAGTAGAAAATAAATGAAATCAAAAAGGAAACGAGGCGCAACAGGCAATGTGCACACACGCATGGCTGGGAAGTGCATATGGCGGCCTTGGCGTCCATTTTGTTCCCAGTTTCCAGCTCCCAGCTCCCAGCTCCCAGCTCCCAGCCTTTATTGGCAGCTGTTGCATTGGGGCTGACCGGTCCATGTAGGGCAGGAATGCTGCCATAAAATACGCCAGATGTCGGCCCATACTATTATATTTATTTTACACATATATTGTCCTGTATGGCTGGCAGAGTCCTTTTCTGCGGTCTCCTTTTTTTGATATTGTGTGAGATTTTTTAAAAGGGAAAAGACCCTATATCATAATATTCATAGCTGACAATTAATGTCTGATATATTTAAGGGTGCTCCCTCCTGCCAAGTGGAGACTTTGTTGGCTTCTGTTAAGCCTATTTAAACTTAATTAAATCTACCAAAGATTCGAGCTACCCATTTCGTATGCGGGCCAGCACCCGACACGGCGAAACGTGCGAAAGTTGATTTCCTGCCGATTGCGAGGGGCAGGACCCCGGCCAACGTGGCGTATGATGAATTTAATTCAACGCCATGTGTCGGCGTGGCTGCTTAAGATAGTTGGGATAGCTAGAGGGCTGCTTCGTTTATATTGCACTTGAAGGGATGAAGGGAAAACCATCAGTTAATACTCGAACACATATTGTTTATCCATACTTTAATTTATTTAACATTAAAGGAAATAGCTGAAAGGAAGGCCATACAAACTCTCTCCGTCGAATCGTACTATTTACATTTTCTAACCGATTTAACTGTCCGTGAGTCGGGGCTTTAAGTCCCGCCACTCTTTAGGGGGCATATCGTACGTCAACACAGGCCGGCGACCGGCCAGCAGGACACAATTCAAAGTTCAGCATTACCCTGGCGACTGCCAACGGATAGCAAAAATAATTTGCGTTTATATTGAATTTGTTTTTTTTGTTTGTTCCCCCTCTGTGTATTTGTTTTTGTTGCGCCAGAGATTCATTCGAAGTTGGCAGGAAATTGCATGATTTGTGAATATATTTATTCAAATGGACTTGCGGTCGAAGGTCGGTGGTGAAGCCTCATCTACATTTTCGGGGAGACGACATTGATTTTTGGTATTAGCATTCCGGCATTTTTTTCGTCTCCCGGTTTGACGATAATGGGCAGGTCGAGGCAGAGAGGTCGTCCAGGGTCGACCAGGTGAGATGGTTTCTGGTTCCAATATACCTTATATTCCAGAGTCAAATTCCAACCCTAAGCCATCTCAGGGCTCTACATGAAAGAGGGTTTCATTACTTGGAAGTTGGTTAATAATTCAGCAACTCATCGCAACTCAACTTAACGGCAGCGGCGGCATTCTTTGTTCTTTATGGTTTAATGTGAGTTGCCGAAAAATTTAATATTAATTCGGGTAATTTAACCCTTTCGTCGTATACGTATTTGAAACATCTCAGACTTTGAGTTGGAAAGTGTGAAGCCAGCGATTTCGCACACAGAGGATGGGGATGTCAACAAGCTGTTGCCACAAGCAGATACCACCCGCACACTCTGATACGCAGGCTGGGGCAGGGGCAGGGGCAGAGTCAGAGATCCCTCTCCTTTCCCAGGCACTGTAGATGGCTGTTGAGCTTGCAGTTTTTAGCGTTTTGTAATTAAGTGAAGCGCACTAATTAAAGAACACTTCGTAATTAGGCTTTATGTCGTGCCCAAACTGACGACTCACTCTCACTATATACTTAGACCTTTGCCACTTTCTACTCTGCCCTTTCCCGTGACAACTGAGTTATTAGAAGCCCTTTTTGCTGTAGCTTGAAGCTGAAATTGATTTTCCCCCCACTCCCCCCGGGAGGAAAAGTTCAAGGGCACGCAAGCCTCAATTAAAAATGGATAAGAAAGAAACGTTAGTGGTAATATCGACTGGCATTGGCTGACACTTAATAGCCGTTCATTAAAATATAATTTACCACTTTCAAGGCACCACCACTACTAGGCCATGGAACGCAACAGGAGGTGGCACCGCCCAGGCCATTGATTTATGAGCAGCGGTACTGCAGCACAGCACTTAAATGAAATACATCTAAATCAATCCTATACATCTGTTGGCAAATAAATCAGAATTTGTTCAGCGGAAAGTCCCCACCCTTTGACCAACATACAATATATTTAAAACCGTTGAATCTATTATAAATTCAAGACCAAGAGATTGCCCACCCACGACTATGGCTGTGGTCCCCCCCCCTGAAACTCCCACGGCACCAGCAACAGCTGCTCGAGGGGATTGAGTAATTTTATTCGGCTTGCCGTCGCAGCTGTCTGAGCAGTGTCCTTCCGATGGCCACCCGACAGTGACTTTCAAGAGCGTCGAGCGAAGGTAAACATGTTTTGATTTCGATCTGGTAATGTATTATGCATGCCAGAGACCTGGGGGAGAGTCATGACCAGAGAGCCGCGCTGACGCCTCCACCTTGACCTTGGGGACAGCCAATTACCAGCACATCGGGGCTATCGGGCGCATCTTCAATCGCATATTGGGTGGCCAGACACCCCATCCGTATCCCCCGTATCCCCCGTATCCCCCGTATCCCCCGTATCCGTTTCAGCTCACAAAATTTATGCAAAGTCCATTGTGGGCCTTCAATTAGTTAATTTGGTCTGATCCTTGGGCTTGGCTAGGCCTATACACAGTCAAAATTGGCCCTTAATGGTGTCTGATACTTTAAGCTGATTTTATTTTTGTTGATTCGTCAACCGTAAGTCCATTATTATTTATGCACATCCAAGTCCCCACAGCTGGGGCCACCGGCTCCATGAATATGTTGTCTGGGGCATTGCTGGCCATTTGGGGCATTAATGTGGGTCTTGGGAGCAGGCAAGGTGTATTTTTCGTAATTATTTTAATTAATGAAGCGCCATGGAAATGCTGTAACAAATAATTTCAATGCAAATAGATGGTTTCCATAATTACAAATCACAATCGTATTGTCTGTGAAACTTTGTGATGCGAGTATTTAATTCCAACCATTGGATGGCAGCCAAATCATGGGACAGACGGCGGCACTGTCAAAGTTCATTACGTATACGCCTC